AGAGATATATGAATGACGGAAGTTTGAGAAAAATGAGAGTAAGACATAGAATGAGATTCTAGACACTGTCTCCTCACTGCCTTCTTCTCTTTTGGGAAGAAATCTTCACCCAAGAAGTCATTCAGCAGCCTTCCCCAGCTCCCCAGGGCCTTGAGGGAGCTCCTCAAACTTGAGTCTCTTTTAAGAACAACCTTTAATTATCTGAACTATCAGGCCCACTTGTGGAATTTTCCCCGTGTTGAGAACCTGGTGCTTAGTAATAATGATAACATGATGACATTTCTTGAGCAGTCAATATATGTGAAGCATGTGTGTTATTCACTTGATGTTCACCATAGCCTGTGAGGTAGGAACTTCATTGTCCCCATTTTACAGATAAGGAAACTGAGACCGAGTTCATTCACTTCCCAAAGTTGCACAGCTGGTTCGTGGTAGATCTGGGTCAGGAGGCCGAGCTCTCAACCCCCTAAAGGCTCCCCGACCTGGTCTCCTGCACTAAATGACTGGTTATTATAGGAAGTAGTGAGGGGTTGGGAATTCCATGATGGTCCAGTGGTTAGGACTTGGCTCTCTCACTGCCACGTGTTTGACCCCGGTCTGGGAACTAAAATCCTGTAAGCCACTCGGTGCGGCAAACAAACAAACAACAAGGAAATAGTGAGGGGTGAATTAAGAGTCTTACTCTAAAATCTGTCTCTCCCCTCTTCATACTGACCTATCCTTGGAATGCCTGGAAACCCACCTCCTAAACAGCTAAACAAAGGAAGTTTCCCCTCCCAATTATGTGACATAGATGGATACTCATAAGAAAACCAATCTCAATTCTTTCAGTCTTGTCATGTATCCTCTGGACAAATCATTTAATTCCTTTACGCCTAGTTCCCTTCTCCGGAAAAAACCAAAACAAAACAAAACAAAAAAACCGAGGCTAATAACACCTACCACTTGGGGCTGCTGGGATTAATAAGATAATTTACATACGATGCATTTGTTCATCCTATCTGTTGGATAAATTAGTTATTTGGGCTGTTTTTCTGAGTAACCAGGATTATTCAGTTGTCTCTCCATTGGGAAAAGAAAGTTAAATCCTTACCTCACGTCATTCAAAAAAATTTCAGAAGGTTCAAGCAACTAAACATCTAAAACAATACTGTAAAGTATGAGATCTTACAGGAAAGTGCGTTTATGAGAGTAAGGTGAGGAAAAGCATTTAAAAATTGATTTCTTGGACTTTATCAAAATCCAAGACTTCAGGCACTGTGTAAGCAAAGTGAAGAGAAAAGGGACGGGCCAGGAGAAAATATCTGCCACAGGCAAAGGGTCAATATCCAGAATAAAGAATTCCTGTAAATCAATAAGTAAAAGCTAAAAAAAGAAACAAATAGAATAATGCGGGGAGGGTACAAATGGGCAATTCACAGAAGGGAAGATAAATCTGGCCAACAAACATATACATTTCCTCCGTCTCGCTAGGAAATGAAATAAGACTCTAAAGGGAGACTATTTTCCCCCCATCTATGGCTTTGTCAAAAGTTTAAAATTTGGGGGCTTCCTTGGTGGCACAGTGGTTAAGCGGATGCCTGCTAACGTACAGGACACGGGTTTGAGCCTTGGTCCGGGAAGATCCCACATGCCGTGGAGCAGCTAAGCCCCTGTGCCACAACTACTGAGCCTGCGCTCCAGAGCCCGCAAGCCACAACTACTGAGCCCACGTGCCTAGAGCCCGTGCTCCGCAACAAGAGAAGCCACGACAATGAGAAGCCCACACACCACAATGAAGTCCCCGCTTGCCACAACTAGAGAAAGCCCGTGCGTAGCAACGAAGACCCAACACAGCCAAAAAAAAAGTTTAAAATTTTGATGTAGCCTCCAGGAGAGGCGGTGGTCATTGCATTGTAAAGATGAATAAACAATAATAATAGGAGGTAATAGCTATTAAGCAGTGTATATGCGTTACTTACTTTTTACTGTCAAAGCAATACTGGCTGCTCTGTTTAATCCTCTCTGCTCAGTTGTCTTTCTCCTCCAGGAGACTGTGACCTTGCTCAACTGATCCTCAGATTCTCCATGCTCAGCACAGGCCTGGCACAAAGTTCCGGCTGAGAAATGGTTTGAAAAAAGTCATTTCCATTCGAGCACTTTATGGGTGGCAAATATTCACGGGGTCTCCTGGGGTGGTGATGTGTCAGCTCAGCTTTGAAGTACGGGCAGGATGTCTAGAAGCCCACACAGAAGGGCAAGGACGAGGCAGGAAGAGGAAAAAACCTTTTCGTTCCTTCATTCATTAGGTACTCATTGTGTATGAAAGCTCACAACAACTCTGGGAGGAAGTTGCTGTTATCATCAACACCCTCGTTTTATTTTATTTTATTTTTTAATAAATTTATGTATTTATTTAATTTTGTCTGCGTTGGGTCTTTGTTGCCATGCGCGGGCTTCTCATTGCGGTGGCTTCTCTTGTTGCAGAGCACGGGCTGTGAGTGCGCGGGCTTCAGTAGTTGTGGCACACGGGCTCAGTAGTTGTGGTGCACGGGCTTAGTTGCTCCGCGGCATGTGGGATCTTCCCGGCCAGGGCTCGAACCCGTGTCCGCTGCACTTGGCAGGCGGATTCTTAACCACTGCGCCACCAGGGAAGTCCCACCCTCATTTTATTTTATGTTTTTAATTAATTTATTAATTTATTAATTTATTTATTTTGGCCACACCGCTGAGCTTGTCGAATCTCAGTTCCCCAACCAGGGATCGAACCTGTGCCCCCTTCAGTGAAAGCACAGAGTCCTAACCACTGGACCGCCAGGGAATTCCCAGCACCCTCATTTTACACGCTATGAGCACACTGAAGCTCAGAGAGGTTAAAGTGACCTGTCAAAGTCACACAGCTAATGCATGGCAGAGCGGAAATTCACGCCATGCACTCGCACCCACACCTTGCTCTTAACCACTCTGCTGCGATGGCTGCAATTAGCATCTTATTAACACCAGCCCTTCTTTCCCCACCTTCGAGATTACTCTCTCATTCTAGCACCCCAACTAGGACTTACCGCTCTTTTTCCTTTAAATTACCTCCCTTCTCTTCTAGCAATAATGTCCTTGAGGACCCTCTGCTAAGTGAAATAAATTGGTCACAAAAATACTGTGTGATTCTAGTTATACAAGGTGCCTACAGTAGGCAAATTCAGAGAGTCAGAAAGTAGTCTGGGGAGTTCCCTTGTAGTCCGGTGGTTAGAGCTCTGTGCTCTCCCTGCTGAGGGCCTGGGTACAATCCCTGGTTGGGGAACTAAGATCCCGTAAGTATGGTAGTGGCCAGGGGTTGGGGGAAGAGGAGTGGGGGGGGGTATCTTGCATTTAATGGGGACAGAGTGTGATACACAGAGTTCTAGAGATGGATAGTGGTGATGAGTGCACAACAATGTGAATGTACACTTTAAAATGGTTAAGATGGTAAAATTTCTTGTTATGTGTACTTTACTTTTTTTTTTTTTTGGCCGTGCGACATGTGGGATGTTACTTCACTGACCAAGGATGGAACCCGTGCTCCCCGAAGTGGAAGTGCAGCGTCTTAACCACTGGGCCGCCAGGGAATTCCCTACTTATTTTTTTTTTTTAAGATTTTTTGACGTGGCCCAGTTTTAAAGTCTTTATTGAAGTTATTACAATATTGCTTCTGTTTTATGTTTTGATTTTTTGGCCACAAGGCATGTGGGATCTTAGCTCCCTGACCAGGGATCAAACCCACAACCCCTGCATTGGAAGGCAAAGTCTTAACCACTGGACCACCAGGGAAGTCCCTACTCACTCAACTTTTTAAAAAAGTAATTTTAAAGGGTGCTGAAGAGGGGGAATTATCTCCCTGGGATTCAGTGTTCTGTAGTCCTGGGTGTGTTAAACCTGCCTCCTGGGCTGACCTGATAATGGGCGAGTGCAGGGACTGTGGTGGTGGAGGGTTAGAGACCAAGAAAGGAAGCTGGCCTCTGCCCCGCATGGGATGCCTTGAAAGCATCTTGACCAGCGAAAGTCTTGTGGAGGATGAAGCTGGGGGGATAGACTGGAGATTGGGGTTAGGGAACAGGATCGGGATGGGGGTTCAGCTGTGGAGTGGACCACAGGGGGCAGAAGCAGAGAAGGGACAGAGCAGGTGGGCTCAGGGATTGATCAATTGGATGTAAGGGTGAGGAAGGGGTCAAGTTGCCAATGAAGCCTGCAGAGACTGATGAGGAAGATGGTGGAGCGGGAGTCCCAGGGGACAGGGCGTGCTGGGGGGAGCGGACAGAGGTGTCTGGGGAATGTGTTTGAATTTGGGTTTCAGGGGCCTGTGAGCCAGCCCTCTCTGTAAGGAAGACCTACATGATGATTGGTGAGGCAGAAGAAAAGAAGATATTCTGCATATTTGTAATTTATATGTTAAGTTCTACTATGAAAAATCTTCATATCTACTCATGGGTACAAGGACAGCACTGCCTGCCACTGTCTCTCCATTCTTGGGCTCAACAATCATCATTTGCATGTTTGCTCTGATCCCCTCTTGTCTCTTTATCTCTTTACAGAAGAATTTTAAAGTAAATCTCAGCCATCCCATCAATACACCCCTGCATACTACAAAAACATCTCTAAAAAATAGTAAGATGGACATTTTCTTACCTATTCATAAGGCCACTTCCACACTCAACAAAACCGTCGAGAAATCCTTGATATTATCAAACACCCAGTCCATAATCAAATTTCCTTGAGTGTCTAAAAAATAATTTTTTTCTTCACAGCAGGTTTCCTTGAGTCTGACTCCAAACATGGTCCCCACATACATTTGATTGTTGAGTCACTAACTTCCCTTTAAATCTAGAGTATGTGCTCTGTGGTTTTAAAATCCGATAAAAGTTTCTGTTTGCATAAACCTAAGCAAGGAAGACCACACTTACAAAAGCTTTTTCATTCACACCAGGAGAACGTACTCCTTAAAAAAAAATACTATTCACGAGGACAGTCAGTGGGTTATATCATGCAACATGGGTAATACATACAGTGTCCTAGAACAAGAACATGAAACCAGCTTTAGAGTCTCAAGGTAAATGGTTATATGTCAAGGTATTTTAGTTCAGATAGCTTCCTGCAAACAGCCTCCTGAATTTCAAGTTGACAAGATATAGAATGAGAATATTGAAGAATATTTAACTTTTAAAAAATAAATTTATCTATTTATTTATTTTTGGCTGCGTTGGGTCTTCATTAATGCAAGCAGGCTTTCTCTGGTTGCAGCTAGTGGGGGCTACTCTTCGTTGCGGTGCACGGGCTTCTCATTGCGGTGGCTTCTCGATTCAGAGCACGGGCTTTAGGCGCGCTGGCTTTGGTAGTTGTGGCAAGTGGGCTCAGTAGTTGTGGCTCGCAGGCTCTAGAGCACAGGCTCAGTAGTTGTGGTGCACGGGCTTAGTTTCTCTACGGCACGTGGGGTTTTCCTGGACAAGGGCTCGAACTCATATCCCCTCCATTGACAGGCAGATTCTTAACCACTGCACCACCAGGGAAGCCCTAAAGAATATTTAATTTTAAATTGGATTTTTTAACCCTTATTTGGCAAATCCTTCTCCTCCTCCTTCTTCTTCTTAATGACAACAGAGGAGAAAGTCATGCTATAGGGGGCTGGAGGGAAGAGTAGGGTCCTTCTCTCTGTAGCTACAGGGATTATGGGGGTAACTCTCTTTTCCTAAAAACTTCTAGCTCTATGCTTTGGGTTGTGGAATGTGTGTATGTGTGTGCGTGCTGTCATTTGGCATGCTGTCTGTCTCTCTCCTCCCACTAGAATGTAAACCCCAAGAGGGAAAGGAGCTTTGCTTCCCTCACTGCTGTATCTCTGGCACCTAGGAATCATGCCTGACACAGGGCTGGCACTCTGTAAGTATTTGTTGAGTGACTAAATGTCTGTCTGTCCTCAGGTTCTGAATCCTGTTCCCTGGGAAACCCAACAGAACCCTGGACTGGGGAGAGGAGAAGAAACCTGCCTTTAAAGTTGAGCCTCCTGGAGAGATGCAGTCTCAGGCCTGAGAAGATGCAGGGGCTGCTGTCTCAGGAGGGCAGGGCCTGGGAGAAGCGTGCTTCCCTCACCAAGGACTGCATGGCTGTGGAGGTTGCGGCCTCTGGCTGTGACAGTGACAAGAAAGGTGAGGGACAGGGGTCCTGTGGAGGGGGGGAGGTCATGGCAGAGCCTAGGGAAAGACATGACTTCATTCCTTTGCTCCTTTCAACACAGTTTTATGGAGCCTTGTGTCAGTCAGCTTCTGCTGTGTAACAAGTGAGCCCCAAACTGAGTGGCTTAAAGCAACAGTCATTTAGCTGCTAACAATTCTGTGGGTTGGCAATGTATGTGGCCTCAGGGGACAGTTCTGTTGCCCTTGCCTGTGTCGGCTCCCGCAGTGCAGCTGCAGTGAGCTGAAGGGCAGCTTGTTCATCTAAGATGGCTTTACTGGTGTGTCTAGCTGATTTTAAAGTAAATTTCAGCCATCCCATCAATACACCCCTGCATACTACAAAAACATCTCTAAAAAATAATAAGATGGACATTTTCTTACCTATTCATAAGGCCACTTCCACACTCAACAAAACCGTCGAGAAATCCTTGATATTATCAAACACCCAGTCCATAATCAAATTTGCTGACTTAAAACCATGTGTCTCCAGCAGGCTAGCCCAGGCTTATTCTCACGGGGGTGGTTGCAGAGTTCTTGGGACCAGAAAGCAAGGGAAAACCCCATGTCACAAGCACTTTTTTAGCCTCCACTGGCAACCCAGCTCTTCACCGGCCATTGGTCGAAATAAGCCGTATGGTCAAGCTCAGAATCAGTGGGGCAGAGTGGGGAGGGCAGCCCAAGGGTGTGGACACAGGGAGCTGAGAACAAGCTGGAGGCCACTGGGGGCAAAAATCTATCACAAGCACCTACTATGTGCCAGGCTTTAGGGTCTTGCCGTGAACAAGATGGCTTTGTAGAGCTCCGATTCTTTTTTCTTTTAATATTTATTTATTTATTTCTGGCTGCATTGGGTCCTAGTTGCATCATGCGCGATCTTTCATTGTGGCACGCAGGCTCTCCTATGGCATGCGGGCTTCTCTCTAGTTGTGGCACAGGGACTCAGTAGTTGCGGCACACGGGCTTAGTTGCCCTGCGGCATGTGGGATCTTAGTTCCCTGACCGGAGATCGAACCTGCGTCCTCTGCATTGGGAGGTGGATTCTTAACCACTGGACCACCAGAGAAGTCCCAAGCTCCAATTCTAGAGGAGAAAACAGGCACTAAAGAAAGAAGTTACAAAATAAAGAGAAAAATCATGTCTGACGAGACCTATGGAGACAGTAAAACAGGATGATTGGTGGGGTGTGACAGTGTGATTGGGGAAGGTGGGAGAAGCACAAGAAGGATCAGTTGTTCCAAGGATGGGGGAACAGCTTCAAGGGCAGCCAGAGCTGCACGTGCACGACCCCACATTGGCAGCAAGCTTGCTGTGTTCAAGGAGACCACGGGGAACAGAGCAGGGAGATGGGAGGGGAAAATGATAGAGATCAGCTGGGACCAGTGATGGGGCATCTTGTCGACCTTGGCAAGGAGTTTGCGTGTTACTTGAGTATTGGGAGAGCACTGGAAGGTTTTGAAGAGGAGAAGACAGGATCTCATTTGTATTTCAAAAGATTCTTCTAAATCACTAGTTCTCAACTGGGGGCAATGTTATACCCCACTGTCCTCCCCAGGCAACATAAGAGATCTTGAATTATCAGAACTGGGGAAATGCTGCTGCCATCTTGTGGGTGGAGGCCAGCAACGCTGCTTAGTGTCCTACAGTGCACAGAACAGACACCCCCCTGCCCCCCCAGCCCCCACCACAGGGATTTCGCAGCCTGAAATGCCAGCAGTGCCCAGGTTGAGAAACTCTGCATCCAGCTGCGTGTGAGAATGAACCGTAGGATTAGGAGGTCAAGAGTAGAAGCTGGGAGGCCAGTTGGGAGATTCCTGCAACTGTCCAGGAGTGGACAGGGGAGGAACAAAGAGATATCAAGGGTGACCCCTGGGATTTTGGCCCAAACACCTGGCGAAGAGTGGTGCCATTTGCTGAGATGGGGACACCTGAAAGGCACCCCCACAGGAGAATGGGGGCTGGACCTTCTACTAGGAAAGGCTCCTTCCTTCCACAGGAGACGAGCAGATCTGGGACAGAAGTTGTGGGAAATAGAAATGTCAGTTCTGGCAGTGAGGAGGAGGTTTGGGGCTCCCAGCAGGACCTGGGTGCAGAAAGAGTGGAAAATGGTTCTATCGAGTTGAGGAGTGAGAAGGATGTTGAGGTTCGAATATGGGGAGATTTCTTCACTGGAGGCTGGAACCTGGGGAAGCCTTGTTCCTCCTGGTTTAACTCTGTGGCTTTTTCTTCTGCTTTCTCACTCAGTTTTTGCCAGAGGCCTGTAGAGAAGGAACTATTGTACCCATTTGACAGGTGAGGGAATAGAGGCTCAGGTGGTGGATCACATCAGGTGACTCGCTTTAAGTCTCCCAGGTAGTTACTGACAGAAATGGGATCAGAATTCAGGTCTCTCCTTCTCTCCACCCCACCTGAACCACATGGGCAGTGTGTGTGTGTGTGTGTGTGTGTGTGTGTGTGTGTTTTAGGATATCAGCAGAAGAGAGTTGGCAGACAGGAAGAAAGCAGAACCCATCCAGCTGGCCTGGTCACTCACTCATGACTCCTTTCTCCTCCATTCCTCCCCTCACCCAGACCTACCTTCTCCCGAGACTGGGCATCCCCAGGAGTGGAGCTCGGTGGAGGAAGACGATGAGTCAGAGGACTCCCAGGTAAGCTGGCGATTCCTTCCTCTTTTGATGATGCCCCACTCTGCAGATCTCAGTGGGTTGTCACACTCCCTTCCTCAGCTTGGGATTTCCCTGCCCCACAAAAGTCTGTTTGGGGATGTGAGCCCCAAGAGGTCTCCCATGGGAAACAGGACATATTCCATGGTAGTCAGACATGGAGTGGAGGGTCTCAGGTGGTGGGGGTAACTCCACTCATGTGTACCCGCCAACCCTTCACTCATAAATCCTTCATAAATCGACCATTCATTTTTCTGTCCTCTCATTTATTCACCTAAGCATCCATCTGTCTACTCACCCATATACCCATCCATCCATGTGAGGTCATCTGTCTGTTGACTTATTCATCCATCCATCGACCCTCCCAACTACTCACCCTTCTACCTATCCATTCATCCATTTACCCATTAAACATCCACCATCCATTCATCTGTCCTCTGATTCATCCACCCAGCCTTTCATTTACCTACTCATCCACACACCCATTCCATCCATCCATATATCCAGTTATCTATATACCCAATCATCTGCCCATTCATCCATATGCAACCACTCCATCCATTCAACCCACCCACTCATCCATCCCTCTATCCACTCATCTATCTACCCACGCATTCATCTATGTACTACCTGTTGGCTGTTGGAAGGATGTGGCTACTATTCATCCACCCATATGCCTACTCATCCATCCATCCAACCATCCAACCATCCAACCACTAACTACCTACTGGGTTTTAATCCAAGTACTTCAAATAAAACCAAAAAGAGTTATCAAGCACATTCCTTTCACTGAAATACCTAGTGTTTTCTGTGGGGGGCATAAGACATCAACATGTGAAATAATAACAGTGGTTCTTTTATTTACATATTTATCTTATACATTAGGAAAAAACCACATAACCACTCTTGGCAACACATGAGGGTCCCATCTGCCAATTGTATATCAGAAATCCAACTTGGACTGGCTCAAGCCAGAAAAAGGTTTATTGACACAAGGTGGGGGGAGGCAAGCTGAACAACCAACCATGATAGTGTAGAAATAAGTGCTGGCTGCATGTGAGATACCTCAATAGGAGAAGAAAGTAACTCTGTGGTCCAGGAGGTTTATTCTTGAATACCCAAGAGACACCATACCTGAGATTTTAGGGATGAGTAATTTCCCAAGCAGAGCAGGGGAGGAAACAGCATGTGCAAAGACGGAGACATGATGTAATAAGGCACATTTGGGGGAACACTGGAGTTAGGGGCATAGCAGGGACTGGGATGAGATCATTCATTCAGTCCATAACTATTTGTTGTGCACCTACTATGTGCCAGGCAGTGTTCAAGGCAATGAGGGTGCAACAGTGAATGGGAGAGCGATGGCTCCTCTTTTCATGGGTTCACAGTCACCGAGGTAGACAGACAATCAGCAAAATGAGTAGCTAACCTATACTTCATGCTGGATGGTAATAAGTGCTATGGAGAAAAATTAAGCAGAGTTATGGGCATACAAGGTGAGGGTAAAAGTTGCTATTTTAAGAAGATTGTCAAGGAAGTACCCCTGAGAGGGTGCTATTGGAGTACAGACCTGAAGGAGGTGGGGAGTGAGACTGGCAGATATATCTGGTGGGGAGAGGTTCTGGGCAGAGAGAGTACAGCAAGTGCAAAGGCCCTGAGGTAGGAGTGCGCCTGGAATGCGTGAGGAACAGCGGGGCTGGGGGGTGTTGGTTGGCTGGAGAAGAGTGGAAAGGAATAGTAGGATATGAGGTCATAGTGGTGATGGGGGTGTATGATGTAGGGTATTGTCAACCATACTAAAATGTTGGCTTTCACTCTGAGTTGGGTGGCTACTGTAAGGCAGAGAAGGTTCCAGCTTACGTTTCACAGGACCCTCTCGCTGCTGAGTTCCACGCCAAGGAGGTTGGGTGTATCTTTTTTTTTTAATTTTAAAGAAGGGTTTTTATTTTTATTTATTTATTTATTTGGCCACACAGCATGTGGGATCTTAGTTCCCCAACCAGGGGTGGAACCCTCACTCCCTGCAGTGGAAGGGCAGTCTTAACCACTGGACCGCCAGGGAAGTCCCCAGGTGTATCTTGTAGGCAGTGGGGAGCCTCTGGGGATTTGGGGATCTACAGAAACCACTCTGTTGGCCTCTGTGGAAGGAAGGGAGATTGGATGAGGCAGAGGGAGAGGCAGAGGTGTAGAAACCAGTCAGGAACCTCCAGCTGGTTGGAAGTGATCCAGGTAAGACACGCACTGATGTCACACGTATTATGGGACTGACATGATTCTAAGTGGTTCTTGTTATTTTATTTTACATTTTTTTAAAAAAATTTTTTATTGGAGTAGAGTTGATTTACAATGTTGTGTTAGTTTCAGGTGTACAGCAGAATGAATCAGTTATACATGTACATATTTTCATTCTTTTTTAGATTCTTTCCCCATATAGGTTATTACAGAATATTGAGTTCCCTGTGCTAGACAGTAGGTCTTTATTAGTTATCTATTTTGTATGCAGTATAGTGTGTATGTTAATCCCCGACTCCTAATTTATCTCTCCCCTCCCCTTTCCCCTTTGGTAACCATAAGTTTGTTTTCTACATCTGTGACTCTATTTCTGTTTTGCAAATAAGTTTATTTTCATCATTTTTTTAGATTCCACATAAAAGCAATATCATATGATATTTGTCTTTCTCTGTCTGACTTACTTCACTTAGTATGATCATCTCCAGGTCCATCCATGTTGCTGCAAATGGCATTATTTCATTCTTTTTTATGGCTGAGTAATATTCCATTGTGTATATGTACCACATCTTCTTTATCCATTCCTCTGTTGATGGACATTTAGGTTGCTTCCATGTCTTGGGTGGTTCTTGTTATTAACTTGACACTCACTAGCTCTCATTATTAATTCATGAGCCCTGTGAAGTAGTTAGTATGGTTTCCCTCCCTTTAAGATGAAGTTAGGGTGGGGGAGGTGCCCAGAGACCTCTGTGACATCATTCATTCATTCACTCATTCACTCCGTCATGGCTCATTCAACCAACATTGATGGAGCACAGGCTGGAACCCGGCAGGGGTGGGCGGTGGGTCCTGACCCAGCTGACCTTTCTGCATGGACTCAGCCTCCTTCCTATAGGTGGCCCCCTTCCAAAAAACAAAAGAGAAGATCAGGCCATATGGGACCAGAGACCTTTAATATCAATAAGAGGCAGGCTGCACAGCCCTCACCATGGGGCTAACTCAATTTATTTGATTCTCTTAATAGTTCTTGATGTGGGATCCGTTACAATTGTATTTTACAGACAGGGAAACTAAGGCACAGAGAGGTCAAGTACACTTTCCCCAGAGCACCCAGCTTGTAAGTGGTAGGGGTGGGATTTGAATCCTGTGCCTTTCTTAACCACTAAAGTATCCTGTCTGTCTGGGGACTTTATCCTCCCCCAAGAGAGGACTGGGGATAAGGGGTGAGGGCTTCTCCCCATCCCACTACTCAATTATGTCCCTCCACCCCTCAGGTGGGGAGGAGTGAGTGAAGGAATGGAGGGGAGGAAAGGAGTTACTTTCCTAATATTTCTTTTTTTTAAATTTATTTTACTTATTTTATTTTTGGCTGCATTGGGTCTTCGTTGCTGTGCGTGGGCTTTCTCTAGTTGCAGCGAGCGGGGACTACTCTTCGTTGTGGTGCGGGGGCTTCTCATTGTGGTGGCTTCTCTTGTTGCGGAGCACGGGCTGTAGGCGTGCAGGCTTCAGTAGTTGTGGCACATGGGCTCTAGAGTGCAGGTTCAGTAGTTGTGGTGCACGGACTCAGTAGTTGTGGCACATGGGCTTAGTTGCTCTGCGGCATGTGGGATCTTCCCGGACCAGGGCTCGAACCCATGTCCCCTGCATTGGCAGACAGATTCCCAACCACTGCACCACCCAGGGAAGCACCCTGATATTTCTTCGTGTTTTTTAAGATTTTTTTTTTTGATGTGGACCATTTTTAGTCTTTATTGAATTTGTTACAATACTGCCTCTGTTCTATGCCTTGGCTTCCTGGCCGAAAAGCATGTGGTATCCCAGGTCCCCGACCAGGGATAGAACCCACACCCCCTGCATTGGAAGGTGAAGTCCTAACCACTGGACCACCAGGGAAGTCCCCTGACATTTCTAAGAGGCAGAAATTCCCACTCTATGGCCCCAGACATAGGAAAGCAGGGAGGAAAAAATAGTCCCATCACTCCCATACCATAAAATACAAGCATGTGTCACAAATGCAAACCTTCTCAGAGTATGAGGTAAGGAAAGAAATAGACTTGGTAAAAGTTGCTATAAAAGCAAAACTCATCTACAACATTAGAAATCCAGATACTGGTTCCCTTCGAGGTGGGGTAAATGAGGGAGCATGAGAGGGGGACATTTTGGGGTGCTGATAATGATCTGCTTCTTCTTCTGGGTGCCAGTTACACGATTCACCTTCCGGAGATTCATCACGCTTGTAGGATACATGCAATTTTCTCTTTGCATATTATACTTCAACAGAATGTTTTTAGAAGGTTGTCCCGTTTCCTTGCAGGCATTTTTTTCCCTGGAAGATGAGACTGAACTAGGATTCTTGTGCAAGGGATTTATTGAGGAAGTGTGTTCTTGGGTAGAACCCATAAGGGGTGAGGGAGGCTGGGAAGGAGGAGAGGGAGTGAGGCAAATATTATATGGGTTTAACTGAGGTCCGGCTTCAGTCTGATCCCACAGGGAGCTCTGGAGTGCGAATAGTACCAGTCCTTCTCTGAGCCAGTGGGGAGGCTTTTATCTCCCATCGCTGGTTGTGGACAGTGAGTGTAACCTTCTAGGTAACTCTCTAGAGAGGTGGCTCCTCTTAGCAAAGGGCATTTCTTAGGAGAAAGGGGGCAACCATAAATATAAACCATAAACTATCAGGTTAGCAGCCAACACTCACAGCAGCTGGAGGAGAAACAAAGAGGAACTAAGTGAGGCACTGACGGGTCCATTACGTGTGGTGTCGTGTGCGTGTGTGTATGTGTAAAATTTTTGGATTTCAGATGAGCCATATTAACTACCTTTTCTTCTTTTTTAAAACTTTTTTTTTACATTTTCCTGAATTTATACTCTGCTTTTTAAAAATGGAGGCATACCTGGGACTTCCTTGGTGGTCCAGTGTTTAAGACTCTGTGCTTCCACTGCAGGGGACACGGGTTAGATCCCTGGTCGGGGAAATTGAGATCCCGCATGCCGCGCAGCACAGCCAAAAAAAAAAAAGGAGGCATAAGTATTTCCAATAAAATGCACATGTCAGTAAGTGTCGACACACACATATATGCTTGTGTAACCAACCTGCCATCATCCTAGAAAATGCCTTCATCTTCCTTTCCAGTCTGACTCACTCCCTCATCCCAGTTCTGATTTCTGGTTGCATAGATTCATTTTGCCTTCATATAAATAGAGTCCTACAGTAAATGACATATATTTCTTAACCCCCGAAAAAGGAAATTATAGCAAGATTATTATTCTGCCATTTGGTGTTTTCACAACAATATCGTCTGGATAACTTTCCATCCTGATCACTTTCATCCTTTTTAAAAATTACGTTTTACAGCTGCCGAATATTCTATACTGCAGTTGTGTCATGCCCATTTCCTCAACAGCTGAATTGTTAGGTTATCCTTGTTTTTGTTGCCACAGGAGAATGAATGTTTATCCAGTTGGCTTCATTTTCTGGAGCGTGGATTATTAGGGACTTCATAAGATCTCTGAATGTAGATCCACTGAATCCGAAATTCCCACGGTGGAGACCAAAATATGTGAAAAACTCCCCCAGGAGGTTTCTGATGCTCTGCCAGGTTTGGGAACTGCTAACGTGGGTTATTCTCTCCAGGTTGTAAAAGGAAGGAGGTGGCATCCAGTGGGGGAGAGCAAGCTAGAGGGAGGAATTGGTCCTTTCCCGAAGATTAGAGATGTGAATCCCATTAATGGTTTATAACATGCTTTAACATCTCATAGTACGTGTCCCCTTCATTTCTCTCCTTTAACAGAATTTTTTTAATGTTTACCACTGCCTAGCTTTCCAGATAACTCATTCATGCCCGTTCCCAAAACTTCCCAGATATTTTAATAGCAATTGCATTTAACTCATCGTTATTTTGCAGAAGAATTGTCACCGTTTTAAACATTTTGTCTTCCCATCCTTCGTTGTGGTATGTCCTTTTTGGGGGGGGACCGTGCCATGCAGCATGCGGGATCTTAGTCCAGGGATCAAACCCGTGCCCCCTGCAGTGGAAGCACAGAGTCCTAACCACTGGACCGCCAGGGAAGTCCCTGTCTTTCCATTCATTCATTCATTTGAGAAATATTTATAAACTTGGACTCTGGGTCAGGCACTGGAGATACAGCCACGAGCAAACTAAAATCTCTGCCCTCTCTGGACACGGGAGAAAGAGAGCTGGGGAGGGCAGATGGGTGGTCTACCGTGGGGAGGTATTGGGGGATGCTGTTCTATACAGAGTGGTATGGGTGGGGGTTTCTAAAGATGTGGTGGAAAATGTGGAGCTGGAAGATGTGGCGGAGATATCCAGGCAGGAGAAAGCATAACTGCAAAGCTTGGAGGTGAGAGTGGCTGGGGCAGAGTGACTTTAGCTTTGGAGGGATCGCTCTGGCTGACGCATACAAAAGAAATTGGGGGTGAGGGGAGTGTCAGGATAAGAAACAAGAGTGCCCAGTTTTTAACCCAATTGTTTGGAGGTTTTTTTGTTTTGTTTTGTTTTTTGGTATTTAGTTGCATGAGTTCTTCATATGTTTTGGATATTAACTTTTTGTCAGATGTATGATTTACAAATATTTTCTCCCATTCAATAGTTTGCCCTTTTGTTGATAGTTTCCTTTGCTGTGCAGAAGCATTTTTGTTTGATGTAGTCCCACTTGTTTATTTTTGTTGCTTGTGCTTCTGTTGTCATATAAAAAAAAAAAATCATTGCCAAGACCAATATGAAGGAACCATTGCCTTATGTTTCTTCCATGAGTTTTGTGGTTTTAAGTTTTACATTCAAGTCTGTAGTCCATGTTGAGTTAATATGGCAGTATGGTGTAAGATAGTGGTACAGTTTCCCATAAAATAAACTCTGAAATTGAATTAAAACAAAGAAAGAAACAAGAGTGATGGTGACTTTGACCGGTGTGGTGGTACTGGGGGGAGTGGATGGAAGTGGTCAGCGTCTGGATGTATTTGGAAGGTGAAGCCAACAGCATTGGCTGGTGGGTTGGAGGTGGGTATTGAGAGACAGGAGTCAAGGGTGCCACAGTTGGATGCCTGGAGGGACCTGAGGGGTAGACTGGGGGAAAACTGCAAGAGGACGTATTTTTTTGGCCAGTGGGGAGGGATATTTGGGAAATGTAAAGTTTAAGATGCCCATGAGATATTCAAGCGGAGATGGCAGGTATACAGTGAGATTTATGTCAGGAATTTAAGAGAGGGGTTGGGTCAAGAAAAACACACACACACACGTACATGTGAAGATCATTAGAGTACAGGTGGTATTTGAAACTGTGAGAATTTTTATATCATTTTGAAATTTTCACCACATGTATCATCTTTCTGATATTTCCTCTGCTAGGACATAGGTATAGTACTTACTTTTGTATATTTATATCTGATCACTTTGTTGTATACTTTTTTATTTGTTTTTATTGAGGTATAGTTAATTTACAATGTTGTGTTAGTTTCAAGTGTACAGCAAAGTGATTAGTTATACATATACATAAATTTTCTTTTTCAGATTCTTTTCCATTATAGGTTATTATGAGATATTGAGGATAGTTCCCTGTGCTATAGTTTGTAGTTTTTAATTCAAACGGCTTTACAGCTGATACACTGTCTCATTCCCAATCCTGTAATCCCATTTTCTTGCACGTGACAATGGTGGCTCCCCCTCTGATATTTATAGTTTTTCTTTCTTCTTTTTTTTTTTTTGTGTGTGTGTTTCAGAGCTTTGTGGAGTGGTCAAAAGCTCCGCAACAAATGACCATAGTCTTGGTAGTGTGTGTGCTTTATTTGTTCCTGGTTTTAACAGGGATGCCTATGATGTTTCACATTTAACTATAAAAGTGGCTATTGTTTAGAAATAGATGCCCTGTGTCATGTTAAGGAAGAGACCTGATTAAAAATCAGGAACAGGTCTTGAATATTATCAAATGCCTTTTAAACATCCATTGAGATGATTTTTCTTTTGTATTTAACCATTTTGTGTGAGGTTTTGAATTACTGTATTTCACTGACCTTAAGACATCATCGATTGTAAAACATGCATTACTTTGTATACCCCTGAGAAAGAAAAAAAATGCTACTTAAATGTAAGATGCCACCAAGTGGAAGATGCATCCTGACTTCAGAGAAGGTGAACACGTGCAACTTAGGAGCGATAAAATCTGGTAGATTTCTTAATTACAAATCATCTTTGCATTCTTAGGATGGTGGTACAGCAGTCTTTTCAGATATTGAATTCTATTTCTTGATATTTTCTGTAAGATTCTTGCCTCTATCTTCTTATGTAAGACTGGTGCTATCTTTGTTAAGTTTTGGTATCGTGGCTAAGCTTGCATCATGGAAGGACTTGAGTAAAGTTTAACCTTTTTCTGTGCTTTCGAATACTTTCTGTAGCTTGAGAAGTATCAATTCCTTGACATTTTGAAAGAATTCACCAGCAAAGTAATCAGGTCCTAGAGCTATGGAGGGGAAGTTTCAGTGAGTTCTTGGATGGCTTTCTCCATTTCTTCTCATGTTATTAGCTTATGAATACTTTTTACTCCATTAATTTTTATGATTTACAGTGTTCTCTTATCCCCTAGGCTATGCTTCATTCCACTAAGCGTCCCCCCCCCCAGATGATTAGCTTATTTGTGCACAGTATTTTATAATTAAACAAAATCTTCTCTTTATTTTATTCTGTCCCCTTTCTGCCTTTCAACTTCGGTTTGTGGTTATTAGATTTGTCAAAGTTTTATCTAGTTTATTATTAACTTTCTGAAGAACCATCACTAGGATTTATTTATGTCCATTATTTCTCTAGTTTATAATTTGTTTTCCTTTAACATGTATTGGGTTTATTATTTATTTATTTATTTATTTATTTTTGCCCTATGCGGGCCTCTCACTGTTGTGGCCTCTCCTGTTGTGGAGCACAGGCACTGGACGCGCAGGCTCAGCGGCCACGGCTCACGGGCCCAGTCGCTCCGCAGCATGTGGGATCCTCCCAGACTGGGGCACGAACCCGTGTCCCCTGCATCGGCAGGCGGACTCTCAACCACTGCGCCACCAGGGAAGCCCAGTTATTTTGTTTTAATAGGACTTTCAGTGGCCTCCCCTGAGTTTGCTAGAGAAATCAGGGCAGGAGAAGTATGGGCTTCTCTCTCTCTCTCCATTCCCCTCTCTGGATGATTGCACCCAACAAGCCAACAACTGGCCCTTAAAAGAAAGAAACACAAGCCTCAGCTGTTTCATTCATTAGTATTTTATTGGTTGCAAATAGGAGAGTCTCAATTCAAATGAACTCAAGCAAAGAGATTCATTATAGATTCACTTACACCAAAGTTCAGGATGAAATCGGCTTCATTTAGAGCTGGAATGAACTGTTGTGATGACTGAATATGTAAATGAGGATATGTAAGCTGTGTTAAAGAAGTTATTTGTAAAAGGCATTGACCAATGCAGAAAATAATTTAAAATAAAATATCTCTTTTCAGGAATGGTATTCTTGGAAATGTTGGGAAAAGATTCCTGGGTCTTGGAAGATAATTACTAGAAATATGCAGGGGAGGTAGTATATCTTTTTTTTTTTTAATGTATTAAGTATTCCTGGAACAAAAGCAGTGAGTTGGAAGGAGAGGATTGTCCAAGTAAAGAATGGATTTATAAGGAAAAAAATTTAGAGCTGGTTCTCCAGGTCTAAAAATATTGCTGAGGACTTTCCGCTGACCTCCTAGTTACCTTCCTTTTGGGGGTGACCTCCTTCTCCTTCTCCATGTGGCTGGGAGAATAGCTACCACCCCCATCACCTACTTGGCAAGACGAGGAGGCGGGGCAGATTCTCATCACACACACACACCCTCCCGTCGCTGCTTGGCTGCAGGGACCAGAGTCTTGCAATAAAGGATGCAGAGGCCTGAGGCAGGAGCAAGCTGTTGGAGGAGTAGGCGAAGAACGATGCGCAGCTGGGCAAGAGTGGAATGGAGATGCCTGTGGAGACCATCATAGATGTCCAGGCCAAGGGACTGTGATTAGCTCAGACGGAGCTGGTAATCTTAATCACATTTGTGAGATATTGAAAATTATGACGCTAGTAATATAAATCATATTAGCAGTACTTATTTATTTGGGCTCTACCACATGCCAGGAACCTCATTTCATGGATGATTAAAGTCTCCACCAGCACCGCTGATGCTCTGTTCTCCACCCAACAGCCAGGCAGATCCCATTAAACCATAATTAAGACCATGTATAATGCACACCTCAGCAAGTAAAAGCTAAAGTCCTCACAATAGCCGTCCAGCCCCACGCAAACCCGCCTGCGCCCCCATCTCTGCTTTTTGCTCCCTCCGCTGCTCCAGCTGCTGCTCCAGCTGCACTGGCCTCTTTGCTGTTCCAACAAGCGCATCGTGCACCAGCCTCAGGACTTTAGCACCAGCTCTGGAATGGACCTCTGCCTGGAATGCTCTTCCCCCATAAGCCCACGTGGCTCCCTCAGTCCTACAGGTCTCTGCTCCAACGTTCGCCTCCTTAAAGAGGATTTCCCTGACCACGCCATCCGCAGTTCACTCTGATCATCCTTATAGCCTGTATCACCACCTGACAATTACGGATTAATGCGCCTCTTTTCTGGCGTCCTCCTACTCGGGTGGCTTTCCCCAGAGAAACTTGGTCTTGGGAAGGTTGAATTGGAGAGGGCTGCAGAGATCAGGCTCTGTCTCCCAGGAACCCTTCCTACACCCACACCACCTTGTGGGGCCCCAGCCTCTTGGACCCTCTCCCCCAAATGCTTGAAGCTGCTCTGTCCCCTCCTGGAACAGAGATGTTGGACCCAGGGTAGTATCTGCATATAGTATGTGGGGTACGTGGTGGAGGGGGAAATAGGTCAAATAAGTTGGCAAATACGGCAAATTTAAAATCATAGGGAAATAGCTGGGATGCCCAGCCGCTGGTCCATAGCTTGTAATTCTCATCATGAGACTGCCTACTCCGAGGATGGGCAATTCCGGTTGTGAGAGTGGTTTTGGGGTCGGTGGGCTTGCTGCAAGCTGCCACCAGGGAGCGGCTTCAGCATCCAGCACCATGGTGTTCATGGACTGTCCACTTCTCTTCCTCTTGACCTTATCTGTATCCCTAAATTTCAAAAGCTCCGAAACAAACATTTTCGATGACTCCTGCTCCAGGGGCTCAGCTCCTTCTGCAGCTGTAGACACTCAAGACTCTGACCTCGCGGGGGCTCCATTCTTTCTGCAGCAGGAGGGTCTACGAACTCCTGCTTCCTCTGGGGGCTGACTGCAGCAGGAGGGACTCAGGGCAGACTCGCCACACACATCCCTACAGCCCATCCCTGCTCCTGGGCAGGGACAGGAGGTCACAGCCGGCCAACCAGCCTACACGCGAGGCCGGAGCAGCACAGTCCCCCACGAAGTCAAAATCAGCTTGGGAGCCCTTCACCCAGCGAATACAGGCTGGTGCCTGTGGACTCAAGGGGCGCCGGAGCCCTCTGCGCCTGCGCACTCGGACCAGGTAGGCTCTCCCTGAAGTCTTGGTGGGAGGGCTCAGTGGACAGTCCTGTGGCCCCGCCCACGGCCCTGTAGCCCCACCCCCACCCAAGGCGGGGCTGACCCGCAGCTCTCCAGCTGCTGAGGGCCTGTTTCTTCTGTTCTCTCGGGTCATTGAACTCAGCACCATGTCTGTGAACTAGGTTCCATTTTACTCATTCACCCATTTCACCTGGCATTTACTGAACACCTACTGTGTGCATAGGCCTGAACTGAGCAAAGGTCAGAGGGAGGAGCCAGACTCTGTGTGGTCCATGACCCTGAATTGCTCTAGGGCTGGGGCTGGGCATTTCGACTATCCATTCAGTCACTCAGTATTTCTTGAGGACCTACTGTGTGCTATGGCCTGAGTGATGTCTGGGGCACACAGAGGAACCAACTCTGTTGTCCCTGATTCTTAATGACTCCAGGGCTGACGCTGGGATGTATAAACTACTCATTCAGTCACCTGGCACTTCTTGGAGACCTACTATGTGCTGAGGCCTGGGCTGGGCAAAGTTTGGATCACAGGAATGGACCCGAATTGCATGGTCTCTGACCGTAAAAGGCTGCAGGAGTGGTGCTGAGGATGTTCGCCAACTCATTCATTTACCTGACCTATTCATTCATGTCTACTGAGGACCTACTGTGTGCTAAGGCCTGGGTTGCATGATATCTGGGGCACAGGGAGTGCCAACTCTGTGGTCCCTGACTCTGAATGACTCCAAGTGCTGGTGCTGGGGATATACAACTGTTCAGTCACCTGGCACTTCATCAGGACCTACTGTGTGCTGTGGCCTGGGTGATACCTAGAACACAGGGAAGACTCAGACACTGTGGTTCCTGACCCTACAGGATACCAGGGCCAGGTCAGGGGGTTTTCTCTTATTTATTCATTCACCTGATGTTTCTTCAGGACCTACTGTGTGCCAAGGCCTGTGAAGAAAATGCCAGGACAGAAGTAAAAAAGGCAGACAGATTCTCTCCTCCCAGGCCCCTCACTAGCTTCTTTTGTAGGGCTGGGAGCTGAGGGAGCTGGTGGACTGGGAGGCAGATGTGTCTCCATTTGTTATATGTCTGCATCTCTCCCTTCCTGGCTTAGCTGAAGATCACTTGTGCTTGAGTTATTTTCGAGGCTTGACGTATCAGTTTCTGATAAATTACAACAATTTTTCAACCTTTCTTGGGGGGTCAAGGAAATCTAAATATGGACTGGTCACTGGCTGATATTAAGAAATTATTTATTTCATTATGTGATAATAATATTGTGGTTGCAAAGATTTTCTTTATTTCTTAGAGATGCAGGCTTAGGTATTTACCAGTGAAGTGAGATATGTCTGTAATTTACTTTAAAATAGACCTGAATAGATAGCTAGTGGGAAGCGGCCGCATAGCACAGGGAGATCAGATTGGTGCCTTTTGACCACCTAGAGGGGTGGAATAGGGAGGGTGGGAGGGAGGGAGATGCAAGAGGGAAGAGATATGTGGATATATGTATATGTATAACTGATTCACTTTGTTATAAAGCAGAAACTAACACACCATTGTAAAGCAATTATACTCCAATAAAGATGTTAAAAAAAAACAACTAGACCTGGAAAATATACATATAGACATATTTTCATGACTATTTTAAAAGCAAATATATGTTATAAAATGCGGTAAATTTCATTATTTAAAAAATTTTAGGTATTATATTTTTATGTTACCAAAATTATCATTATTATTATTATTTTTGTGTGTGTGTGCAGCACGGGCCTCTCACTGTTGTGGCCTCTCCCTTTGCGGAGCACAGGCTCCGGACGCACAGGCTCAACGGCCATGGCTCACGGGCCCAGCCGCTCCGCGGCAAGTGGGATCTTCCCAGACCGGGGCACGAACCTGCATCGGCAGGCGGACTCTCAACCACTGCGCCACCAGGGAAGCCCCCAATATTATTTTTTAAAACACATCTTTGTTGGAGTATAATTGCTTCACAATACTGTGTTAGTTTCTGTTGTACAACAAAGTGAATCAGCCATATGCATAAATATATCCCCATATCCCCTCCCTCTTGAGCCTCCCTCCCACCCTCCCTATCCCACCCCTCTAGGTGGTCACAAAGCACTGAGCTGATCTCCCTGTGCTATGCTGCTGTTTCCCACCAGCCAACTATTTTACATTTGGTAGTGTATATATGTCGATGCTCCTCTCACTTCTCCCCAGCTTCCCCCTCCCCTCCCCCGTGTCCTCAAGTCCATTCTCTATGTCTACATCTTTATTTCTGCCCTGCCACTAGGTTCATCAGTACCATTTTTTTTTTTAGATTCCATATATATGTGTTAGCATACGGTATTTGTTTTTCTCTTTCTGACTGA